GTGAGACATTTTCCCAGACCTGGCAGACTTGGGTTGAAGAATCTATGAGAAATCAATATGTCTATCCAGTACGACTCATATCTCAGAGGCCACAGCTGCCTAGTAATGATCAGATACTGGGCTCTGCCATCTTTTCAGTGATCTCCAGTACATAGCCAGGGTTTGGACATGTAATCCAAACAGAGAAGAGCTGGTGTAACAGGTGTGATTGCTGATCTCCTGAGACCACTGTCTGATCCTGGTGCTGTAGGTGGTAGAGCCGGCAGCACCAGTAATTCCTGCAGCTCAAGCCCTGCTGGCATGGATTCTTGGAATCGGATTTCAGTTGAATTGAAGAAAGTACAGGAATGCGACACTTCTTGCAGCCCTCTGCTCCTAAATTAAGATCTAGGCCTGCTCCGTTTGTAAGGCATTGGGGAATCAAGGGGAATTAACTCCTGATCCCTGAATGCCATCACCTGGGTTGTCGCAGAGGCTCATAAAGCACCCCTGTGGGTAATACCATTCAAAATACTCCGAGAATGTGGTGCAAGCTGCGGTCAGAGTTCTCAGACACAGGGGAGTTTATTTTTGCAAAAGGCAGACAGCCAGGAAGAGGGACTTAAGTTCCTCCGGAAGGGATATATGAACTGAACACCCCCCTCCCCATCATTGCGTGCCAATACCATTATTGTGTAATTGCTTTAGCTGTAAACTCATAAAACTTTTGTAGATCCAAAGGTTGTTTTGGAAATGTGCCTGCTTGATATGAGCTAAGAGTCTGGAACCCAGTGATCGAACAGGGAACAGTATAGTTAATGATTTCCATAAAAGTGCTTAGAATGGTATCTTCCTGAATACGGACTGGGAGGGCTCTCCTGGGTCAGCCAGCCCTTCCCACACTCCTGGTCCACCACACTGGAATTGCGCAGGAGGCCAACATGGGATGTGGATCTGGTGAGGTCTGAGGGTTGCTATCTCAAAGACCAGGTCTGGACTGTGTAGATGGGGCCATGTGAACTCCTCCCCATAACTTCTGCAGCGGGTTAGCGCCTCGCGTCTCGCCTGGACACACCTAGCCTTCCAGCATGGTTCTCTCTCTGCTCTCATCACGTTACTTCTTGTTTGCAATCATTTAATGGTTATTCCAGGAAAGACACCAAACTTTGTGTCATGGCATTCAAGGCTTTTGGGGTTACATCTTCCTAGGTGGTGCTCCCCGCGGCTGCACTTTGTTCTGTCAGGGCTGCCCTCCTGCTGCTCCTCCGTTCTCTCCTGTACTCAGTGTGTCCTCTCTGCCTGGAGTGCTCCACCCACCAGTCCTCACTCGTAAGGATCCTGTGACATGTCACCCAATTTGAGGACTCTTTCCTGGCCAGGGCCAAGGCACCAGATGTACTTCAGCTTGAGATTCCCTCCTCCAGCACTTAGGCTCGGAAAGAGGAGGGGATTTTCTGAGTTTCTCTGCCTCGGTTTTCTCCCGTGAGGAACAAGTCTCCTGCTTCCACCTGTGGGCTGTAAGTTAGGACCGGGCTAGCCCTACTGGGAAGGATGGAGCAGGATTCTCTGCACACACCCGTCATTAAGGAACGGGGCTTACTATTCTGACTATTCGGGTCTTCTTTTTAGAAGTTTCATTCAATTGGACTCTCTCTTACATTTCATGTTACAATTATTGAGTTTTGCATTTCGGATCTCTAGTACACATTTTATTTCCTCTCTTGAGAAGTCCCCGAAGGTGAGATAGCAGTTTCTGCTGACTTAGCACCCACACTCAGCTCCACTGGGTTCTCTGCCAGTAGGTAAAGACGGACTTTTCCAGTCTTTAGTCGCTGACAGCATTTTTAGTTTTTTAGTTTTCTGCCCCCTTTCCATCTAAAAAAGTTGAAAATGGATTTTATAATTCAAGTTTCTTGGACCTGAGAATCTCAGTTGGGTTTCCAGAGTGGGCAGTTTGTGAAGCGGCCAGCGGGAATTGGTACACTTCTAGTAAGTCTTGGGAAACCTCATGGAACTTCAGGACACTTGTTCTCAGCTCACTAACTTTTCAACAGGCATCCATTTTTTTTTTCTTAAAAAAAAAAAACAAGCTTCTTGGTCTAATGACTTTGGAAAGCATTAAGTCTTCATTAGGAGCCACTCACGGAGAGCCAGAGGACTCACTAACCAGGGAAAGGAGCAGAGGTCCTGCAGCAAAAGCAGCTCCGAATTGCTGATGACAGCTGACATTGCCCCGAGACAGGCCCCCGCACAGACCCTCTAAGGCAATCCCCCAGAATGCCCACAGAAAACAGATACATTGCTATTCTAATCTAACCAGTGAAAACCCTGACATTTGAAAGGGTCCAAGTTCATACACCAGGGTGAGGGCTGAGATTGATGTCAGCCATCTACAAAGTTGGAACCAAATGCCCTGTTCCACATTCCCCAAGTCGCCTAACTAAGCAATATATTGAACTATCCTCTGACTAGTAGCCATGAAGCCAGTTGCTTGGAACTTGCTTTGGGAAGCAGTGTAAAATATTTCCCTGTTGGAGAGCTGGGGTGACCTTTTTGCCTCTGTGCTGGGGTGCCCATCCTTTGGTTTTCTCGTGGTAAGGGGCTCAGCCTCCGAAGTCCATTTCAAAGGCTACTCCATAGGGATCTCTCTCTGACTGAAGCCCACTGTGGTACAAGGCAGTTCTTGGTGGTCTCGTGTTGTCTGCACTGCTGCTGACCGTGACATTGCCTTTAAAGCACATTGCTAAAGTGCCCAGCACACAGTGTGACCTCTGGAAAGACTTGCTGAACAACATGGAGTTCTTCTTCTAGCCCTTGGACCTTTGACCCCTAAGCATGACTTGCCAAGTCTAGACAACTGACTTGAGACCCATTCTATAGCCTACAAACTTGGGTAAGCCTGGCTCACACAGAAGCAGGTCAGACAGGTAGCCACAGTCTCCTGGCAGTTCAATAGTTAACATGCTCTTCTCCCCATTCCTGGAAGAGTCTGTTTCTTTCTCCTAGATTCTGTAGCAAGGACACATTGAGGTCTCCTTGGGTATCTCTCATCAAGACCCTTTGGGAGACAGCTCTGACTGGTTGCTTCTAAGGCACTGTCTATGTTTCAACACTCAGCTCACGTGACTAAGCCCCGGATGAGTCAGCTGTCTTAGGGATTTTTGTTAGCTACCCTTATTGCCTTTGATTTCATCTTCACAGTGTGTGTGTGTGTGTGTGTGTGTGTGTGTGTGTGTACACGCGCGCGCATGCATGCTCCTTGGGCTCTGGGGTGGGGCCTGGCAAGTTTGACTTACAGAGATGCCGCCAGCCTCTGTGGGAGCCTGTGATGGGAAACCACGTCATGCCATACTGCGCAGTTTTAGGCCGCACCCATCCCCAGGGCCCACTCAGGCGCCATGCAAGCGCTGGCCATCCAGCTCTCTGGCTGCCTGAGATGAGGTCATGGGTGGGGTACTGGAGACCCCCTCCAGATAGGGTGGGGGTTTCCTCTACTGTCCAGGGGTGGGCCCGAAGGACTGGAAAAGGGGGAGATAGGTTTGCTTGTCTGATCTCCTGCTCCCTAGTAGTGGTCTGTAGGTTAATGTGGATAGCACAGAGGGATAAAAAGAAATTAGGGACAATATGGAATGGAGAAACCTATGGATTGGCAGTCGCGGGCTACTTGCTCCATTAGTAGTTTTGGGTCTAGGGACGTAGCTAACAAATAGTGCTTCTTGACCACCTTGCCAGGAGCTAATAGAGACTCCTCCTTGCTTTTATACAGTAATGCCTTTACTCCGATCTTAATCAACAAGACCTCAAGGCAAGGGAAGCCAGAGCAATTCTTATTATGTAACTAGACTTGACACAGAAGGGAAAAAATAACAAGAAGATAGAGGCTTTCTCAGCTGGAGACAGTGACTGCGGCAGTAGCTCTCATTCTCTCTCAGGCCTAACTGCCTTGATTGCTATGATTTTTACACCGGGGAGAGGATCTTGCACATGGAGGTTACCTAACCTCCTTAGGTTCTAACCACGTAAGCTCAACCAAACCCACAGTTTTCTAACCTCTGCCTGAGAACATACACGCACACGCACACACACACGCACACGCACACACACACACACACACACACACACACACGTGTGTGCTCACGGAACGACGAGTTCTGCTAAGACTCTTAGCCTGCAAGATCCATCTTCTGATCTCAGTGAATATCTAGGGTGCGGTGGGGATTGCACCTGGAATTCTGCCTTGGAAAAACAGGAGCTCACTGATAACAGAGTGTTTCTCCAGGAAACAGAAAGACGCACAGAATGTTCACAAACCTCCACCCCAAGATGCTTCTCAAAAGACCAACACATAGAAAGAAAAAAACCAAAATAACAAAACAAAAAGAAAGAGCTATCCGAAGGCACAGCAGGCAAGTCAGTTACTCTGTGCAGATAACGACACCATCAGCCGGCTATGACTGAAGCTCACAATGTCATGCCATGTTCAACTGTTTTTGTTTTATTTTTCTCCTCCAGGGAGATAAAGTTAATATTAGTAATATATTCTTAGGTTCTTACATGAAACAGTCAAATGGTTTCCTTAACTAGTCCATAAACAGTAAGTCACAGGAACCACGACTGAGAGACATTTTAGAATGTTACCACAGTCTAGGAAGTTTCCCGAGTTCCAAGACTCTCAGCTCTAGGAGCGAATTGTGCATAAACAGATATTGAGATCTTGGCTATGCATTAGCCCACTGCCCGCTGGACAGTCAATGCTCAAAATTTGGGGGTTTCAGAGAACCCCTCCCACCTTTTTTAGAAAAACAGCATTTTCATGCAAAGACGCCTGCCACACCAAGCGGAGAGTCGGAGAGACACTGCTGCTGAGACTCCCCAGCCTCTGATTTACCATTTGTTGACACTCTATCAGCACATCCCCTCATCTCCTTACAAGTAGCTGTCTGTGGTTCTTCCTGCAAATATTTTGATAAAGTCCAAACAGAAGAGGAAAGAGAAAAGCTGTAATAAAAACCATAGCTTACCTCTCCTGGGCATTGCTGGGTTCAGACTTCTCCCCCAAACATGAAACTTCTGTGCTTTGGTTCTCCCATGAAGTTAGAAACCATTAACAAGTATTCAGAGCAGAAATGCGTTTACTACAGGAGCTGCTCCACAACAATGCAGAGAAGTGCGGTGGTGAAAAGCAGAGGAGGTGTGCCGAGCGCGGCGCTCATGCTGTCGGATGAAGTTCTGCAACCGTCTTTCTCAGTTTAAACAGCCTCCCACTCCTTCTCCCAGGCACTTGCCAACTTCTATAATTTAAAGCAACTGCGATCCTTCCCATAATACTCACATTTCAAAGAGTTTGCTATATACACTCGTTAGTCATGAGGAAGAGCAGGCAAGGTTCTTCTGCAAACCCCAGATGGAGGCAGATGCAGAGCGAAGGTCTCAGGTATCCGGAGGATTTTTCTATCCCGCAGCCATGGCTGTTAGCACCATGTGGATTCATATCGCTGTAGCCTTTAGAGTGGGATCTAGAGACCGCCTGGCATCACTTCCCCGATGCAACAAAAGCACTCAGGAAAGTTTACACAGCAAACTTAGGAAAGGGGGCTGATGCAGTGGGATCACATCCCCGTGTCACTTTTACTAACAGGATTGTTTCTCTGTGACTTGCCCTTAATTGTCGCATGCAGTGTTTTCATGAAACAGGGAAATGCTTAAGATGATGTTCTTTATATTGGTCTTTTTTAAGCATCATTCCACATGTGTAGCATAAATCTAGAAAGGACATGTGCTTCGCAAATTATGTCTATTCAATTGAATAAATCTTCTAACATTTTAGCCTGTAATCAGAATAAATCTTCTGGCATTTTAATTGGTGAATGTGTTGTGCATTTTATTATTCATTTCTCCCCACTGACACACACACACACACACACACACACACACACACACACACGGGAATTAAAATTATAGCCAAATTTTAAAGCACTGTTTAAATGTTGATTTAAAAATATTTTATGGTATGCATCAAAATAATTCTTGCTTAGTGCCTAAGTAGCCTGTGCTCAGTAAATACTGAATGGAGTAATGCTTATATTTATATCAATCAACAGTTTTGTCAACTTTGATCTACAAGCACAATCCCCTTCAAAATGATCAATAGGTCACAGTGTGTAGAAATTAAAATAGGTCAATGCATGGCTTTGACAGACAATGAATCACTGTGCAATAGAACCCCCTCAATGAATAGAAAACATCACATAACAAATCAACCATTCAAGAACGATCAGAAACATCGACATGGACACTTTCCATCAAGTATGCTCTCTGCACAGATATAGGCAAAAAAGTCCTGGGATAGAACATCATTATTTCAAAAGCTATCAATCCTTCCCTTGTATTTTAGAGTTCATTCAAATAAGTATTACACAGTAGGCAGCATTTAATTTTTTATAATATATAAATAATAAGTACAAACAGAAATGTAAGTTTTCTATGCTGAGAATCAGAGGAATGATGGGGTCTCCTTTGCTTGGGTTTCTGCCGAGGAGTGGTCTCCAGGCATGGTGCACAATGTGGGGAACTTAACTCACATGCTGGAGCCACATTCCCTGTAGCCCTCAATATGCTGCCTTATTTTTAAAAAGTATAAATATAAAAGTGTAAATGCAAATGTTTCAAAACAATGTATTTGCACATATGCTTAATATAAAGCAGTTATTTGATAAATATTAGTCAGGTGCCTTTCTGTGTATGAGGAATTTAGTAAGTCCTCTTACGATGTTTACCACAGAAGCCAACATGACCATCCTGACCAATGCCAAAATTGGTGATAGACATGGATGATGTTCTATCACAGCTTTAACTCAGTCTCATTGGATGGGAATAGATGAGAGTGAGGGACTGGATACAGGGATGGAAAGGCAACAATCCATGTCCTGAAGTGCAAAGCCTTTGGTGATCTTGATAACAACAGTAACTTGGAAGGCAATGTATGCTAAATAGCTTTATGGTTCTAGAAGAAAGAGATGGGGGAAGACACATGTTATGTGGCAGGCCACTGTTGGCTGCAGTTAGCAAGGTGTTCCGAGGATGAGACCATGGGAAAGACATATGTACGTTATAAACCCCAATGAAAGGAGAAGGGAAGAGCGTGCGGGGACCCTATTTTATGATTTGAAGGAGTCTACCAATATCTTGATGGGCTAAAATGCCTGTTATAAAATTATATTGCTGCATACTCAGCAATGTCTTTCAAAAGTGGAAACAACCTCTTCTACTGACAAGATGTGAAGTGCAGGCTTATGTGAGGGCACACACCCCAATACACACATCTCTGGTCAAGAGAAAAACTGGAATGGGGGGGAATATCAGGAGGAAGTGATGTTTGCAGCAGAGAGCCATGAACATAAGAATTTCCCAGTTGGCAGATTCAAGACTCTCTTTGGCTCATGAATGATCAGGTCCCATACTAGCTGCTTGGATAAACTAGGTATCAGTAATTGCTGCCTCTGATTTCACCCTGTTGTGAATGAGAATTTTTATGGTAGTTATACTATTGCTGCTATAACTTTTGTATGGTGTGTGTGTGTGTGTGTGTGTGTGTGTGTGTGTGAGAGAGAGAGAGAGAGAGAGAGAGAGAGAGAGACAGAGACAGAGAGAGACACAGAGAAACAGAGAGAAAGAAAGACAGAGATGGAGAAAGAGAAAGAGGTAGGAAAGAATTTGCTGATTTTGTTTATAGACTTTTGTTTAAGTGTCTAGATTTCTAGATTAAGACATGGATCAAACAAAATGTATGGAGAGAATTTGATATGCAGGAAGTAAGACCTTTGATCTAAATATAGTCATCAGTCAAAATTCTAGACATATTTAATATATATACATATATGAGGTTGGAGGAAAATATATAACTATGAAGCCATTACCACAATCTAGTAACAAACAATAATAATAAATAGTCATTTTTCAAAAGTTTTTCTTGTCTAATCTGTCATCTATTATATATTATTAACTATCTATTATGTCTATTTTTATATCCATTTTTTATGTCTGACATCTATCTCTCTGTCATCTATCTATCTATCTATCTATCTATCATCTATCTATCTTTAATTTCATTAATTCATTTTATTCTCTTAACAGTCCTGCAAGGGAACACTAATATAATCCTTCTATGGTTGGACAACTTGAAGCACAGAGAGGCCAAGTGATTAGCTCATGGTCACAAACCTAGGAATTTGCACCGAAAGTGTCTGCTTTAACCAGTCCGTCCAAACTCTTGTGTGTTGCTGAGAAGTTTTCTCCAGGGCAAGTGAAGAGAACTTTCCTAGGCCATCCATTTCCTTAGCCTGATTGCTGGTAGATATTTATGATAAGTTCTGTTTTTTTCTGAAAACTTTTCTAAAACACTGCAGGTTGTTTTCACTTGGAAAGCCCACCTGCTCCTCACTGAATGGAATTAGAATGTTCAGATTGTTTCCTTGTATTAAACTTTGTGCTCTGTTTTGATGGTAAACTTTTATCATCCTTGGCTTGCATGGTGCAAGCCAGCCAAGTTTCAAATGTTATTTTGAAACCCAGTGACTTTTCCGGGATGTTCTAATAAATCTCTGCTGAGTTCTATCAATTACACACAATCTGAAGGAACAGGCTGGGAGGGGGTACAGCTCTTGTCAGGGAGCATCATCTTTCCTTTGGGAGACGTTGTCAAGTTTGGAAATCAGAGATGAAACACACGACCTGTGTTTAGAGTGGTAGAGAAAGACCAGTCCCAGTGTCAAGGCGAAGACGCTCAGGTGTGGCCCTTCCTTCATGTCAGACTACGCATAGATGCTGACGTAATGCTCTCTGCTCTCGGGCACTAAGGACACGGAAGGTGCCAGTCATTTCTGGGGTTTGCAGACTGTCACCCTCCCTTTGTGGATTCTGATCTTGGGGAGAGAGGTATGGTTTAAATCTGGAATGACCTCATAAGACTCATTTGCTATGTTTGTCCTCAAGAAAGTACTATAGTGTGGTGGTGGTGGAACCTTTATGGGGTGTAACCTGATGTGAGGGCTTTAGGATTTTGATGGCATGTCTCCATCATGTCCCCCTCCCCGTGGAACTTGGAACCCAGGCCTTCATCTCTCACTTCACTTCTCAACTCTAAAGTGAGCAATTTTGCTGTACGACACGTGCCTGCTATCTTGCCAACCAGACATGGAGGGAAACTTCCAAAACTGTTACCTAAAATAACCTATTCTTTTTTTATAAGTTTATTAACTTATTAAATACTTTAGCTTAGTTTATTAAATATTTTAGCTATTTTGTTATGGTAACAGAAACCTGGCTGTCAGGAAGAACTAATAGAAAAACATTGATTTGTAGACTGTAAGACCACATATTGGGAGGAAGCTCGAGGATGTTCTAACTCACCCCTGCGTTCTACTCAAGATCAGCAGCACAGTCTTGGCAGGTGTCTGCACCATCTCTATTCAACTTTCCCCAGGGAAAGGGACCACCATGTCACAAAGCGTCAGTACATTTCTCCGAGCCACATCAAATATGCCTGCCCTCTTTCCCACACACAAACAACTCTCAAGTAGTCGAAAACAACTCTTTGCCTTTTCTCCCCACCAATACATCTTGCCCTAAGTCTAATGAATCTGGCTTTGCGTCTGTTCTTCAAGAAACATGTTTTCATTTAGGCTGCCAGTTTGCTTGGCTGCCTTCCAGTGAGTCAGTGTCCAGTTAATGGCTAGATGTCTCTTGAGGAGTATGGTACGGTGACCAAAGAATAAACATCTCAGTTACAGGTCACCTTGGCTCTCAGCCTCGAGAAGGCGGCCCTTGTGTCTAGCTCCGGGTATGTGGTCTCCCAGATTCATCACTCTGAGGCGTCCTTCTGCAGAATCACTTCCCTGAGTCAATTATTTGCTGTTTAGAACAGACAGTGCCACCCCACCCTCTGTGGGGCCTGGCTCTCTTCTGACATCTATTGACTTCCACTTCCTGGAAATAGTGCAATCCTTGGCTTTAATATTTCAAGCTAAACCATTTTCCCTTCGATCCAGTCTTCCAGAGTGGCATTGGTGGGTCGTTATCAACACAGTCCTCCCAACTGCTTAGGAGTGTAAACATATACTATTGGCTCCATTTCCTCCTCCTCAAAACACTTCACCACAGATCTCCAATGTCTTTTCT